GTTCACCGTACGACCTTTGCCATTAGCAAAACCCTTACCGCAACTGCAAGCTATAAAAGGACCCGAAATAACAAATGTAAAACATTCCAAATGAGAAAATAACGGCCTAAATGTTTGACCAATTTGGTTCAAAAAGTGCAATTATTAAGTGCAAGTATTCTTAGAAGAAAAAAACCATTGAAAATAGAGTTTGTTTACTGGACACAAAAGTTTTGTTAAATATTTAAGACCGTCTTAACCTTATTTGTTGAAATACAATATTGCATCTTTAATCTGTTAAATAATATTTTGATTTGATTTTTTTTTTACTTTATTGTTACATGCATTTCAATTTTTTTTTTTTTTTTTTGTTCCAGAGATTTGCCCGAAGAATTGTTTCTTTGATGGATGCATGCATTATAAAAGAAAAATAATGATTGTAGCGAAACAAACGTTTCTCCACTGGATTCTTCAGTCGTCTGTTTGTTCGATTGTTCTGCCGTTCTTATGCACCTTGTATTAGCAACTCCTCATAACCAGAGGAAACATAGTCCAAGCCAAAAAGTAAAGATTTCCCTATTGCAGTTTGAAGCTGTTTTTGTAGAAATCCAGAAAATGAAAATTTAATTCAAAAAGTTACATTTCTCTATTATATTTTATTTTAAAAAAGTATTGTTTAACAAATTTCAAACTTGTGAAAATGTGAAGTGAAAATAACAGTTGTGTGGTTCGATGCTGTGGTGTGTTGCTTTCTAAATTGGTAGATATGTACTTATGGTATAAAAATAAGAAGATGTGGTATGATTGCCAATCAGACAACTTTCCAACATTGACCAAATGACGTACAATTCAGTAACAATTGGTCAACGTACGACCTCAAACAGTGAGCACTGTTTCGAGTAAGACTTTCTTGGTTAACCTTCTTCAGGAATGCTCATACACAACAAAATGAATGTCAAGGATGTATGAATAGAAAATATACTTGAATACGTCATATTCTTTCATTATTTTACATACTACACGAAGGAAATGCCAAAGTAAAGTAAACATCATGGAGTTCTATTCATAGTGTTTTCTGTAAGAGCCAGTATCTGTTAGCATTAAAATATGATGGGAACCTGTGGTCACAGATTTTCATAAAACTTTGCTAAATAAATGCTTAGTTATGTAGAAACATAATGGTCATAATAAAAAATACGGTAATTTTCATTGCAAAAGTTTAATTTCTTACACTTACAATTATATTCGAAATTTGAAAGATTTAAAGGTCATTTATATGGATATCATACACGAACAAGCGATCTATAAAGAGTAGCTACATTTCATCACGGCCTAAGTTTACTCAATTATTCATTAAGATAATACGAAAAATTTGATACAAAAAAAAATATGTGATATGAATATCCTGCCATAAAAATCTAACATTAAAATTAATTAAGTTTACATACCACTAAAAGGATAATAGGTAGTAAAATATGTAAAAATGGTCGTAAAATAAATAGATACATGTCATTTTGTTATTCATATGGAGCCAACCTCCGTTTTATATAGTCAGAAGGGAAATGATGTAATTCACGATTTCAAAATTATAGAAAGCATAAGTATGAACGGAATTTTCAAAACAGGAAAAGGACAATATGATTCAGTGAAGTCAAGGAAGCGCCTTCCTGATGATTAAAAGAAGAAGAAAAAAAAGAACGAAATTTCTGTCTTAGTCATAAATATGTAATATTACTCTGAGTATCTTTTCAAGTCCATCTTTTTATTTAAAAAAAATCACTATTTATACCATATTGTTAATGGTCCTTTAGATACCGTCACGATTTAAAATGATAAACTGTGATTACAAATTATAAGCCAGCGTTTTGATCCGTTGAGTAAACTTAGGCCGTGTTCACACTGAGGCTAAAACAAGTTTGAAACAAGTTTCGTTGAAATTTTTAACATTAATTATAAATAAATACAGCGTTAATTTTGGAAACGCTTGCAGCTATTAACTAACTTTTGAATATAGAATTAAATGCATGTCAAACAATTGATGAGTTTATTTCAAAGATAAAAACAATACGACTTGTGTACACAAAATATGTTTCACATGGGCAGTGTGAACGTGGCCTTATTCTCAAAGGATGATCAATTTAACACTGTAGTAAGATCTATTAAACCAAGAGTTCCAAATGGTGAAGTTGAAGTCATCCCTTCGTAAATTTTACGGACGCCCTCACGAGTTGGTTTACCGTTATGGAATAACCGTTTCACAGATGATGTCGGATATGTTACTTATATCGTAACTACAATACCCTCCCTTTTCACGAATGTGACTTACTGAATTAGACTATTTACCGGATTTCTAATAAAATAAGCAACACGACGGGTGCCACATGTGGAGCAGGATCTGCTTACCCTTCCGGAGCACCTGAGATCACCGCCAGTTTTTGGTGGGGTTCGTGTTGCTTAGTCTTTGGTTTTCTATGTTGTGTCATCTGTACTTTTATTTGTCTGTTTGTCTTTTTATATTTGGCCATAGCGTTGTCAGTTTGTTTTCGAGATATGAGTTTGACTGTCCCTCTGGTATCTTTCGTCCCTGTTTTGAATAACGTCTTTATCGTTACTTACACCGACTTTGTTTTTTTATAAATTAAAACATAACCAAATTTTCATTGTTATACAGTTATGAACACTAATTGTCCACAGAACCAGCTGGATATGTACAGAGTAATATCGTAGTCTTGGAAAGCATGTTTCATTTATAAGTAGAAATGTCTGTGAACTAGCTCTCTGTAACTGAAAGTTCTCTAGATCGGTAATCCATATTTTTTATTGTGCTTCGTGGCAATCTGATGAGTAAATTCATACCCGGCTGATTTTACAGATGGTTCATAATGTTGTGCTTATATATCGTTGTCCCGGTTCTAGGATAGAATTCAGTGCTTATATTCCTTAGGTGCCTGTTACAAGTATTAAAGGAGCCTGTAATTAAGTGGTTGTCGTTGGTTGCTGTGTAAATGCTTAGTTATGTAGAAACATAATGGTCATAATTAAGAAATTAAACTTTTGCAATGAAAATTACCGTATTTTTTCATTATGACCATTATGTTTCTACATAACTAAGCATTTATTTCGCAAAGTTTTATGAAAATCTGTGACCACAGGTTCCCATCATATTTTAATGCTTACAGATACTGGCTCTTACAGAAAACACTATGAATAGAACTCCACATCAATGACGTTTACTTTACTTTGGCATTTCCTTCGTGTAGTATGTAAAATAATGAAAGAATATGACGTATTCAAGTATATTTTCTATTCATACATCCTTGACATTTATTTTTTTGTGTGTGAGCATTCCTGATGAAGGTAAACCAAGACAAGTCTTACTCAAAACAGTGCTCACTGTTGGAGGTCGTACGTTGACCAATTGTTACTGAATTGTACGTCATTTGGTCAATGTTGGAAAGTTGTCTGATTGGCAATCATACCACATCTTCTTATTTTATACCATGAGTACATAGCTACCAATTTAGAAAGAACCACACCACAGCATCGAACCACACAACTGTTATTTTCACTTCAGAATTTTAAGGAAAAATATTTGTTGCATTACGTCGCCTTAACTGATTATGTAATGTATTTATAAAATTATTAAAAGAATTCCCGTAATTCAGTGTATATAAATAAAACAAGCATAAACTCAAAATATATCATCACATGAAAATCGGTACAGAGCAGTTTCTACAGTGCTATGTATGTTGTTTCATAATTCTTAAAATGACCTAACCTTTCCTCTACAATCTATATATTAAAATACAGTTCATCTTCCCAATATGATTAACTTACCATTCTACCACATTTTTGAAAGAGACGTAAAAAATGTTGTAAAAAAGTGTTGCGAATAAACCTACAAACACATCCATTACGATGCAAGGGGTAATGGCTAGACATTTTACTATCACATCTTCATACGTATATACATATTTAAGTTATTTTTTGTTTTGATAGTCCTTTTGGTGTGTTCTGCCCCTTTTTTCATATATATTTCTAATAATTTTGGACATTTTTGCAAATCATTTGTAGTCTTTGTTAGTAAAATCGAGCAACCTATATGCTGACACTTATTTTATCTTTTAAAAAACTCTTATGTTGAGGTAAAGGTTCTATTATTAGTATAACAAAACTTTGAGGTAAAGGTTCTATTATTAGTATAACAAAACTTTTCAATTTGAAAACGATTCAGTGATTGATCAATTTTTCATAGTTGATGAAATGTAATTTGACATTTGATCAAATTAAAAAAAAGTGAGTTGTTTTATCAAACACTTTTGGTAACACGAAAGAGAAAGAACAAATGTAAGAGTAAATTTCACGGTATATCATTTTCGCGTGACCAACAAAATTAAAAATTGCAAAAACCATGCAGTCTAACATGAAGCATAATAAAGCTTACTGTACCTGATCACAAACAGCTGCTTATTCTTCAACTTTGAAATGTCTGTATTTCATCTTTCTTTTTTCCAATCTTACTGAGTCTCCGCTGTCACTTTCTATTATACTATGTCTTATTTATAAACTAAATATTTCATAAATAAACAGTTTTGCTACACAAACACATTGTTTGCATGATAACGCATACTTTATTTCAGTGTCAATGCATGCTTTGGGTGAATATTAACAGTTGCAATTTCATTTTCTTAATTTCATCATACTATTGCTATAAAGGTACAACGTAAGGAAATTTTTGGGATGAAAATATCACTATCACTAATTTACTGAAATGTGACCACAACTTCAAATATAAAGTTTAATTAAGTGTCATTGAAAGATGTAAGGAATTCATAAAACATTAAATATCACAGTATATCACTTTTTGCGTGACTGAAAATCATAAAAAATGGACCTTGTCCATGAAATGAAAACACACTTCTGCTTTTGTTTTTTATCCCTACGTAGAAAAATGATTATATCTGTATACGCTGTCCTGCATGTGGGGGCGTTTATTTTAAATATTTAAGAAAGCATCCAGATTTCTCTTCGACATAAACAGACCTACACTGTTCAAGGTAAGACAATATTTATATTTTATTTTTTTAAACAGGGGCATTGTTTAACAAAGTTTGAAATTTGTTAAACAATACCTTTTTAAAATAAAATATAATAAAGAAATGTAATTTTTCATTTTCTGGATTTCTACAAAAACACAGCTTCAAACTGCAATAGGGAAATCTCTACTTTTTGGCTTGGACTATGTTTCCTCTGGTTATGAGGAGTTGCTAATACAAGGTGCATAAGAACGGCAGAACAATCGAACAAACAGACGACTGAAGAATCCAGTGGAGAAACGTTTGTTTCGCTACAATCATTATTTTTCTTTTATAATGCATGCGTATCCATCAAAGAAACAATGCTTCGGGTAAATTTCTGGAACAAAAAAAAACAAAAAAAAATAGAAATGTATGTAACAATAAAGTAAAAAAAATCAAATCAAAATATTATTTAACAGATTAAAGATGCAATATTGTATTTCAACAAATAAGGTTAAGACGGTCTTAAATATTTAACAAAACTTTTGAGTTCAGTGAACAAACTCTATTTTCAATGGTTTTTTTTTCTTCTAAGAATAGCTGTACCGCAATACGTATTCTGTAGAAATTGCACTTTTTGAACCAAATTGGTCAAACTTTTAGGCCGTTATTTTCTCATTTGAAATGTTTTACATTTGTTATTTCCGGTCCTTTTATAGCTTGCAGTTGCGGTACGGGTTTTGCTTATGGCATAGGTCGTTCGGTGAACAATAGTTGCTAATGTCGACGTCATTTGGTTTCTGTTGGAGAGTTGTCTCATTGGCACTCATACCACATCTTTTGATTTTTACATAAAGATGATAAATAAATTTCATCAAACTAGAAAGTAGACATGATAAAATAAACAAAAATATGTGACCATCAGTTCGTTTAGCTGGAATAGGGCGTATTGTTAAAGATTACGTTTTTTACCTGGAGACTTTAAATTGTTCAATAGTTTTTCGACCTTCCGAGGAACGATTACCAAACAAATCCCTTTTTGTAAAATGTTCTGTTTTAAGGATGTTCGCTACTCTACTTCAAAATAACAAGATTTTTAAAAGCCTGTAATAAATTGATAGCATATGAATAATGGAACTTAAAAAGCAGAAAAAAATGATAGGTCCGTGTCCTTGTTTTTGTGTTATAATTAACTGAAAATTTGGCGGAAAATGATTCTCTCTAGATTTTTCGTAAATTTAACATTTACATCTTTTTTATTTCAAAAACTATGAAAAATTTACAAAGATATTATAAGATGTTTTAAAATGGCGGTTTAAAGTATATATTATAAAATTATGAAAAGAAAAATAGGGTTTAGCGTGCAAATTTTTTATTGGCACTACAGGGATAAAACTAGAGGATTCCGAATATCTGACAAAAATTCAGAAACAAGATTGCGATCATCCTTAAGGATAATGGACCGTGTTATTATTTGTTGAAACCCTCATATACAACTCTTTCTATTATTTTGTAGATGATCAAAAGGAATAGCATGCAGGCTCTCTTCATTGCAGTTTTCGTACTGAACGGAATTGGTAATGTTTTATTTTTCATTTTATTTTTTTTTTTTTTTGTATATGTTAGCACTTTTTTAACATTCCTCATTTATTGTCTCGGCTCCAGTGTTTTCTATTTCCCTGAATAACCATTTCTCATACCATTCCTGTAACTTGAGCATTTTAAATTGATGAGTAGTGTTTGCGTCAGAAAACATTTTATATAAAGCAATACTCATTATCGATACTTCCTTCTTCATTGGATAAAGTGTAAGCGGACTCGAAAAACAAAATTTAATAAAACAGTTAGTGTTTTTGACTTTTTGATGTAAATCGATATAGGACATTAAAGACCTATAATTTATTTCGTACAGTTATTGTGAAATTTCAGGTTTAAATAAAATACTATACATTAACCTTTTTTTATAGCAATGCAACAAATAACAAAAAAAACAAAACAAAAACAAAACGTAAATATGTAATCAGCAGGTAACACTTAAACCAAAGCTTGAGCAATGCGGACTCTGGTAAATACCTAAAACGATATCAAGTGACCCCGAAGTGTTTGCATGCATAGAGATCCAATTAAAGGTGGCACGGTAGTATTTCCTGGCCCATAAGGGATAATGATAGCCTTTTTAGACTTTTCACCACATTCTAGCACTGCCCAAAATTCTACGTTCATAGTTTACTGAAGTACTTTCATTATAATTTTCAGAAATGAATTTGAATATGTATCATGACCGTTTACTTTTTTTTTGCTATCTTTAAAAACCTAAGGCCACTAGTGCTTTTAGGTCTTTTATCATGCAGTGAATACAAAATTTAAAAAAAATCTCAAAAATACATTTTCACCTGTATGTAAATATATTTCATATTTTGCTACACCTGATCCATGCCTCAGTTTGGGAAAGTATGTTCAATTGATACTGTATTTTTTGTCCAATCACACTGTTCAGATACATTGACATAAGTAGGGTACACAAAAGAGCAACCTGAATTCCGGAATGCAAATACTACCGTGCTACCTAAATACGAATGCAGAAGTATACCGTTTATTCTCATAACCTGATGTTGTTAAAGTATCATTATGTAATAACACAAGATTAATTTTTTTGCCAAATTATAAAATCGTCATAAAAGTAGAATGAAGAGAAACATATTTTCCATCTGTTTTTAAGCATTTAATTCTGTTTTGTATTATATTTTTACAGGTGAGGCAATGGCAGACTACAAAAGAGTCTGCTATTACACAAATTGGGCACAGTACCGACCGAATCCTTTTAAGTATTTCCCAGAAGATATTGACCCATTTCTCTGTACGCATATTATCTACTCTTTCAGAAAAGTTAGTGGACTCATAATCAAGCCGTAAGAATGGAACGACGAAAGCATATCATGGTCAAAAGGTAAAAAGTACAGCATAGAAAAACTAATGAAATTATTTCAGTGTGCACAACATGTGTGTTTCTAGAGTAACATACATCAGGTACGTTCATAATAAAAATGTTTGGCAAACCAAAAATATGAAACATGTACGAGTAAGAAAAAGGAAGCTAATCAGAACAGTTAAACCAATTATCGTTGCCTAAAATGAAACAATATTTTTTATGAATTTTATGCGTCCGAAAAAGACCCTCACCAGGAACGTTTAAGACAAATATTTGAAACCCAAAGATGTATAAATGCCGAAACAGGCGAAGAGCTATATATCCATAAGAGGGAGTTGCATCCCTTTTTAGTACATTTACATAATTTTATGAAACGGAAATTAACAAACGAACTATATAATTTAAATGATACCAATAAGTTTCAGAATAGTATAGCTTTATGTTAATGTATTCTTAAGATAATTATGTCATATGGAAATTGCAATAAGGCAAGGGCGACAGTAAAGCTTTCTTTTCTGTCATATAAGCAAATACGAACATATGTTTTTTCTACATTTCAAGTGAATGATGTGGTGAAATTCCTATCTTATGATGTATTCTAAATATGTATTCAGTTTGATTTTATTTGCTAAAATTTAAACCTTTCAGCGGATTCTGTTCTTCGATACGGAACTCAAAAGTATATATCACTTGTTATACATCTTTTCAATGTAAACTAATTTTCAGCATCAAGTTTAAATGGTGAAAGTCATTGTTATCTGTCATTATAAATCGTTATGAATTGTAATTTTGATTAATAACAGGCATGTTCGAGAGGACAATGGCAGCAAAAACAACAAATCCAGATTTGAAAATTCTGATTGCCATTGGAGGATAGAACCATGGGTCTGGTCCATTTACAGCCGTGGTTGATAATAAAAACGATATTGACACGTTTGCTGGAAATTCCATCGATTTCCTTAGAAGGCATAATTTTGACGGGTTAGATTTGGATTGGGAATATTCAGGAAATAGAAGAAGTCCACCTGAAGATAAACAAAGGTTTACAAAACTTGTTAATGTATGTATAATTCTAAAGTTAATGACATCAATTTATGTTAACTATGTCAAATATTCATCTACAGCAAAATATTAAAAATTAATCTTTGACCGATGTATTCAATGTTTTCACTTTACTGATCCTCTATTTCCACTTCGCTTACAGTTGACATTCTAAACTAAACCCTAATTTCTGTTAGAAATAAAGTTTAATATATAAATTAATTCATTTTGGATAGCGGCGTCTTTTGATGGAAAATTAAATAACTCATTTGCAATCTTTCATTAAAAGGCCTTCAACAGCTACATGCAGCGGTGTTTTGATTTTATCGAAATATACAAAATTGTTGAAAATTGTTGGAAGTTTATGAAATAGACCAGGGACAGTCTATACTAAGTTAGTATAGAAAGTCCCTGTATAGACTTTCGTTAATAACTTCTTTAACAGTATGTTCGATTAGAAGCATGGTTCACTCTTGGGATAAAAAAAAACATCTTATGAGCTGAAGTTGTATGATAAAAACGAAACTAAAATTAGTCGTTTGTTATATCAGCATATCTTTGATTTGAAATGTTCAGCCTTGATTAATTAATTATAACTCTGTTTGTTAAACTTTGACTTTATCGGAGAAGAAAACACATACAAAAATCTGTCATTGTTTACAATACACTAATATATACCTGATTTAGCGTTCGTTCGTCTCCTGTTTCGTCGTTTCTAGGATATAGCGGACTGTTGTGACCGGTTGTCTTTTCCCACGAACCATGAAGGTCATACGCCATTAAATTGATGAAATCCAGATAACTGTAATGGTAGAAATATTTTGATTCACTTTTCATAAATTAATTGTTTTTAAAGAATCAGTTATGCATTTCTAATGTATATTCGACTTTTATCTGCATATGAACTATAGGATTCCATTATTCTTTGAAAAAGATTAAAGATTTTCTTAAAAGGGAATCATTGCAATAAATCTCAAGTTAGTCCAGACTTTAACATAATCTTTAAAATACCTGCTATCATTACCTCGATGGACAGACGCGGTTCCTGATTAAGTACAAATGCATTATACCATAAGGGGTGGTTAAACAACTTATGTGGATACTCAACCCTCTTCTATATTTTATGATTTTAATAAGTAGAATGAAAAGGTTTATAGAAGATCGCTTGCACACTAAAGAATAGTCTATAAAATGTGCTGACGTCTATAGCATTCTTCAGATGGAAACAGAAACAATCATTAAACTATTTTGACCTTTCTAAATTTGATTAATACTTGACTTAACCACGTCGTGTGGACTCTGGTGGATGGTTGTCACATCTCCTTATTTTTATATAAACCACAATGTCAAAACCCATTACTGGCCATGGTCTTTACACAACATCGAACAAAGGGTTGACTCCAGCATGAGCGGTGGTTGTTACTAGCATTTAATGATAAACACATCAAATTGAAACATATAACACTGGTCTTGGCACGTTATCGTACGATTGCTGTTATTAGGCATACTAGAATTACAAATTCACTCAGGTGATATAATCTTCAACCAGAATTGACATGTAACCCATAGATGGTTGTTGAAATCTATCTTGTTGATATAGATAAGACTTGACATGGAATCGTACATTATGATTATGAGTAAACTGAAATGCGGTGTGTATGTCACTGAAACACATAAACATTCAAAAAATAAATCGCAACATATTATCGTCAAGAAAAGAGCACTCGCCCCTTTTAAATAACTTTTATCCTTTGCTATGACATCGACGGCTGTATCTTTCACACTGCAGCGTCATCAATAGTACAGGGAGACAAAATTCAAACAGTTACGTAGTTAAGTATTTTATACCAAAATTGGTATTGATGTTGGCACATTTTACTGAATGCAAGCGTATAGTGGATAAAGTTATCAACATTTTATATGAATATACAAATAAGAAAATTGTTAACTTCATAAGAAAATCTACATTTTATATTTTAGGTTTGTTCAAGCGGATGGACAACAGCATAGAATGATGAGCATCAAGTTCCGTATGCATATTCTGGAGATCAGTGGGTTGGATACGACAACGTTCGAAGTGTAACGATAAAAGTGAGTAAGAAACAAGTCGGACAAGTATATCACTACTTCTCCTGTAAAACGCACAACGTCCGAGTGAAAAATGATAAAATATAAATTGTAGTAAAACTTATTATTAAAAAACATGGAACATCCTCATAGAATATACTATCCACCATATAAATTTCAGCATGTAATATTCTACCGTTTATTAGTAATGATCGAGACAGTTTAGATGAAAAAATGTCAACAAATACATTTAACGTCATTTTATTTCTTTTGACGTCGTTATCTGATAGCGTGATTTTTAATATCAAAAAGTAATGCTGAAACCTTTGATATCATTTCTTTTACGGTGTTTTGTTATCTTTATTATTTCATATTCACTTTAGCGTGCGTTTTTCTTGTGAGTTGAAAATAAGGAATATTCAGCAATGTTTGCATTATTATATTAGTCTGTTCTTTTTTTTCAATTTATTCAACACAAATTAGGGTGATATGTCTTCCTGTGGACTGTTACCTTGTGAACTAATACGCTAAAAAAATCTGCTCAGCATGTCGGTCTTGTACAAAGCAGGATTTATATTAATATCGCATTAAAATGCTTTCGACCCGAATATGCATATAATTAGCCGCTGAATGTCAAACATCCTTCTCCTCCTCCTCCTCCTCCTCATCCTCCTCCTCCTCCTCCTCCTCCTTCTCTCCTCCTCCTCCTCCTCCTCCTCCTCCTCCTCATCATCATCATCATCATCATCATCATCATCATCATCATCATCATCATCATCATAACCTATGCAGTAACACAATGTCCATTAGTTGGCAAATCTGTGTTACCATGAATTATCATTGCTATGATCATATTTATAAATGAACTGTTTCAATTTCAAAATGCACAAGAAAGGCGTATAATGCATTCATCCATTGCTTAAATAGTTTGAATCACTTAGAATTTTCTTTTGTAGACGAAACACGCGTCTTGCGTGCAAAAATTACAAGCCTTGTATCTCTGATGGGTTACTTCCTTTGATATTCAATAATACCTTTTTCTTTGTATCGGAAATTTGAAATAATAGGAGAGTGACGAGACGTGTTTATATCTGATCAAAGGGTTAAACGAATTTTTTATCAATTATTTAATAATGTTTAAAGTCACTATAGTACTGCAATTTTAGAGGAGATAGAATTGATTGATTGTTGTTTTCTGAACGTTAAGTGGCAAATATATCATGCATATCTATGATGGAGAGAAGAATTTTCAAACAAGGAGTAAGAAGTTGCATGCCATATATATACACGCAAATGATAATAAATACGGCACATGGCAGTGACTGATTCTTTCGAACAAAGCGAGCACTTCTTACACAGGATAAAAATGATAGCCAACTTTGAATAAGCCAGTTGTAAAATTTGTTTTAATACAGCTGCATGGTTTTTTAATGTTAAAATGATTCAAAATTATCATTTGTAGCCATGCGATTACCGAAATCTAGGATGTTCAACTGATGAATGTTTCCGTTTTGATATTTTTTCTAAATATTATGATATTTGAATTAATATATGTTTAAGGTTCTTACTTGGTAGGTTGAATACACGCAAAATTTGCATTTTCGTCTTTTTTTTTAAATTTTTTAATGGTTCATTTGAGGTAAGCTGGTAATTCTCGCACATTTAACATTACAGTGACCATTACAAAACTTTTTTTTGCAAATAAGAAATCGTAATTAAAAAATATATATATTTTCAGGCAAAGTATATTAAAGAAAAGGGACTAGGAGGGGCTCTTGATTTGGACGACTTCACAGGGGATACATGCGATGAAGGCGTTTATCCATTGATATCAGCTGTAACAAATGAACTCACGACAAATGACTCACCCACACCAAAACCAGTAACTACAACCTCACCATGCTCACGTCCGCAACCGTCAACTAGTAATTAGTTTATACATTGTCTGGACAAAACAATTAGCAAAGCCAATTCTTGTTTTATGAAAAAAGAAAATAACAAACTTGATGTACGACTTTATGTGTTTCATTTTTAATGTACACTAGTACATTTTGAAAGCAATATACATGTCATTTCAAGCCAACAGTGGTAAAAATATACAGCCCAACTTGCTTGCTTGACTGAGCCAAATAACATATTTCTTTTTTTGTTTAAATTCTCTTTTGATAGATTAAGACATTATTATGAAACTGAGGTTCCAACTCTCTCATACAAAGTTAACCTTGGATGAAGTTGGCTATTCGTTTAGGATCCCTTTAGTTCATATAGCTCCTTACGTTTCTGCATGTCTATACATCCCTTGCTTTTACATGTTTGGGTTGCAGCATTCCTGGTGAGGGTTAATCCAGTAAAGCACTTCGGACGTACGAAATTTATAAAACGTTTTTTCCATTTCAAATTATTTTTTCGTTAAAGCCAATGAAAATGTCTGATTAGATATGAAATACACACCAATGAGTTAACCCTCTGTTATGTTGGTTATTACATTGAAATTAATAAAAAGATGTCAGTGCCATATTATTAATCTGTCCTTTGATGACACGTTAAAGCAATAAACAAAACTGTACAGGGCTGCAAGTGCATAAAGCAAGCATTAAATGAAAAGATCTTGTTTAAGATTTTTTATTCGAAAAAAAAACAGCATAAGAGTATTCATCAAACCTGAACCATAATTCGACAATTTTAACTATTTCAATAACTCCCACAATAATGCTATATTTAATTATGTAACACAAACATCGATACGACACATTATCAAAATCGTGATACTTTAGCTGCACCATGTTCGCATTTTAAAGGGGCATTAGCTGTCAAATTCATGTTCACCGATTGGACTCAAACTTTCATATTTATAACATACTAAAACGTATATCCAAATTACAATAAATCTGAAATAAACAGTTAACAATGCATGTTCTCGATTATATATATATATATATATATATATATATATATATAGAAGTCTATAAAAAAAGGACCAACCAGCAAATTTAATATCTACCGGATCGTCTAGAATAAACGATACTGAGCAGATAAGGAAAAAATTATATAAGTCTAAAGATTTACACATACAATCAGTATTGTTAAAATTATTGACACCGACGAAGGCTATTTGTTAAGCCGAAATATTTGTCAACACGATTTTGCTTATGCACAAAACAGATCCACCAGAATTTGCACCTACCACAATCGACTGTTTTGTGTAAATTTTTCTATAATTTAAAAGTTTACAAATATCTCTAAGCTCAATTCAATAATTTAAGGAAAAACATAAGGCACATTCATTAAACTTTTAAAGCCCAAAGAAACACATGCGAACAATTCAAATTTACCAACTTCGCCTTTTTTACCTTCTCTTACAAAGAGTTCGATTTCTTTTGTTTAATTTCAACTGGATTTCCGCCTGGACTGTAGTTATGTATATTTCATCAAATTACAATGTAACATCTTTAAAATAATTCAATGATATGTGGTTTAACAGGTTTTCACAGAGTATGTTACTTCGACAACCAGGCACAATATGTCAAAAGTCCGTATACTTTTACTGCAACGCAAATAGATGTTAACCTGTGTACTCATATCATCTATAAATATGCTAAAATAGTAGGGACTGAAATCATGCCTACAGAAATTAATGATCTAGGAAATAGTGGTAAGTAACAACCCAATCATCTAACCATAGTCTTTTATAAAAGAATCTGTATCATTATCGCATTTAACCGAGAGGATACCATAGCCGTATTTGGCACAGCTTTTTGGAACTTTTGGTTCTCAATGCTCTTCAACTTTGTACTTGTTTTGGCTTTCGAAATTTTGAACGATCTGAGCGTCACTAGTTAGTCTTGTGTGGACGAAACGCGCGTCTTGCGTATTAAATTTTAAACCTGGTACCTTTTGTTAGCTATTATTCGTATGTTTCTCTATCCTATATGTTCTCCCATTTATTTGTATTGTAGTCCTGTCATGTAATGTTGTCAATTTAATGTTATATTTAACATTGCCATAAAAGCGGGAGGTTTGGCTAGCCACAAAACCAGGTTAAACCCACCATTTTTTTCTTAAAATGTCCTGTAACAAGTCAGAAAATGGCCATTGTATTATAGTTCGTTTCTGTGTGTGTTACACTTTAATGTTGTGTTTCTGTTGTTTCGTAGTTCTCCTCTTATATTTAATGTGTTTCCCTCAGTTTTAGTTTGTAACCCGGATTTGTTTTTTTGCTCAATCGATTTATGAATTTTGGAAAGCGGTATACTACTGTTGCCTTTATTTAGGTGTCATGTGCCTTTTGCCAAATGCATATCAAGTTAAGTTTTGATGAGCAGAACAATTAGAAATTACACAACGGAAATTCCATAAAGACACCTAAACACAGATTATTTCCAATTTCGTGGTGAAATATTTAGATTATTATGTCGTAAATTGCAATTTGAAATTCTGCCTCGATAAGATTTATAAAGGGTTTCTCACCTTGCAAAAGTATTGTTCATACAAAGCAACTTGTTTCACTTTACCAATTTGCAAGTTAGTTGTATGCGGTTAAATGCCACCACCTTCCAGATGTTCGCACAATTTCTGTGATAGGCAAGCAGCAAATATTTTCTTCTTTGAAATTTGGGATTAATTTGGGGTTTATCGCAATTCGACGTTTGGAGTAAATAAAATTCCGAAATGGATAAGCATCAAATGAATTTTGAGATTTTTTTGGCAATACTAATTTGCTTCAGATTCAGGATCATGATTATTCCTAATCTGCATGTGGTTAAAGTACCAATTGGGATTTAAGTGATATATAAGATTTTTTCCGTTGAATTTCAATAGATTTTCTTAAATTTAAGGTCAGTATGCGGAAGTTACCAGACTACGGCAGCTTAAATCTGATATAAAGATTCTTCTAGGAAAAAATTCAGAAATGGCAGACCCATTCAGCCAAATAGCACAAACTGCTGAAACTATGGAAGAGTTCGTAGTTAACCTACTACTTTATGTTAGAAAGTATAATTTTGATGGTATTGATCTGATGTTTGACTTCCAAGGTTCTTCTGGTAACAAGGCAAAATTCACAGACCTGATTAAGGTGTGTACAATATCTACGTACAATGTTGATGTATTCTTTACAGATACGGATCCAGGATTTTAAAAAGGGGGGGAACTCCCAAACTAGGCAATGTTTGGAGTAGGACATGTAAAAAATCTATGCATAAACCATACATGTAGCTCCGAAAGGAGACCCGGCCCCCTGCCCCCTGTCCCCCAAATCCGCTTCTGCTTTAAAGAGGAAGAGTATTGGCGACTATAGTATTTTCCAAGAGCGTAGAAATTGTTTTTGTGTTCCTGTATGAGGGCAAATGACACCAATGTTCTTTCAAAAGTACTTACTATTAGGTAAAGAAAGTGTTTTTTACATAAATTTGGAATAACAATTGCAAACATCTTGGAGTTAACTTATCAATATGCAAAAAACGATTGCATGAACTTACTGATACATAAGGGAAAACACTCGCACTTGTATATGAATACACCTGTTTGGTTAACAAAATCCTAAAAAAAACAAAAAAAAAACAGGTCCTTACACAATGCCCTCCAAAAAACTAGAACAATAACTGATTTCGGCCGTCCGCTCAATATGATCACACATATGTGCATGCATTTTGAGATGTACTTAAGTTAGTTACATCATTCAAAAAACGTCATATCAGTTAAATAGAAATTTTATTTGTATTTTACATATCAACATTTATATTTTTGAAATTTGTCTTAAATGTATGACGAAGGTTATATTATTTGAGTTACTCTTTAGTCGAAAATCAAAGTTTAGTTTTTTTATGCTTTCGTTATGCATGTTTTACACAATTTCTCCTTTATACTAGCTATCATTATTATTGACCTTAATTTATAATGGTCACTTTGGTCTTATATTGGCCTTAAAGTGTATGGCACAAAATCAGATTGGAGAAGCAACCATTACTAATAATAATAAAAAGTGTTGAAAAAAGAAATTTTCATGGTGAGGCTTTGTCAAGTTTCAATGTCTATTATTTATGTCCTCAAAGTTGTCATTTAATCATATGAAATATAACCTAAAACACTTTTATTTATGCAAATGATAGGTTTATTGCCAAAATTAAGATAGCTATACATACACAATGTAGTGTAAAAATTGTAAAGTCTTCCATAAAGAAAAAATATTGATGTTTGACAGCTACGCTATATATTGAACGGAATAAAAAAGACAAATGTTTGTCAATTTAAAGGAAAAACGTGTTTATTTGATTTTTCAAGCTCACGGGTCCCTTTTTAAATTATGTTTCCTAGGGGGAACATGATGAATTTGAAAGGAACATCATTTGACCTAATATAATACCATTAGAAATTATTTGGTATGCTTATTTTTGTATGTTTATATTTGACTTACCAGACTCACGATACCGAGTGTGCCTGGTGAGGTATTATGCATTTTATTAGAATGTAATATTGTTATTTTACCAAGACTTTTTTATGTGATTCTAATGGAATATTTTCTTCTTTTATATCAATACGCCAGTTATTTGACTTGGATGCAAACACCATGAGTCGTCGTCCCTTGATTATATCAGCACGAGTACAACCTTTTGATGTTGATACTACTTCAAGATACGATGTTGCTTCTTTGAGTCAGTAAGTAGTTTTTGCTTAATTCAATTGTAACGTATAGAGGTAGTATACCAACGTCCATTACAAGATCACGTACGTAGGAAACATAACCGTCGATGGTATTTAGAGCTTGACATATTGTGAAGACACGCAATGCTCTTCAACTTCGTACTTTATTTTGGCCTTTTTAACTTTTTTGATTCGCACGTAAGTGATGAGTTTTTTGTAGACGAGAAGCGCGTCTGGCGTACAACATTTCAATCCTTGTATCTATGATGAGTTTATTAATTATTGGTGACGGCTGTGTGCTGAGTTTTTAATATTTTGTAGACAATATTGTTTTTTTAATCGTTGTCTCACTGGTATTTAGCCCTTATCTCCCTTTACTCATAATTTCCTGTGACATATAGATAAATGTTTTGATCGTAAGCTGAATTCAACCCAAAGTTAAGACCAAAGAAGGATGCATATTGTATCTTCAAACCAGCATAGAGGTACATAGTGAGCGATCAAAGCTACTCCGTTTTTGAATTCAAGGATTCAAGAAAAAATCATGTTATTTAAGTCTTTTTTTCTAATTTCTATAGCATAGTGTATGTCACATTTAGTTTACATGTCTATAATATTTTTTTTTCAGATATCTGAACTTTGCCAATCTTGCATCATTCAACTTTAACAGAGACAATACATATACTATTGTTCATGGAAGTGCACTCGATGCTGATAATTCACATTCATTCACAAAGATTTTGAATGTGGTAGGTTTTAATTTAAATTATCGTGCGTTTTTTTTGTCATGGAATGGTATGACCGTATTACTTAATTTCTTTTTATGTTTCGTGTTATGAAAAGCAAGTTTGATTATATTCATGTTGTATGATCGTTTCAGAATAAAACAATTATTTCATAACTAGTAGCGCCCAAGAATAATGTATACTATTACAATCAAGTCTATATTTAACGTATACCAAACCTCATTTACATCTTTGTAACAGAATAAAATATTTTTCAGGCGTAAAGGGAAATTAGCATGTTAATAGTGCGTAGTATAATTTTACCCAAGAGTATGCAATAATGCGACATTGCTCATAACTATGATTTACATTTTTGGCAGAAAACATCCATAAACGTGTGGCTTAATGCTGGTTTACCTATAAACAAACTGGTAATTGGAATACCTGCTTATGGTAATACATACGATACTTTACCGGGGACACACATGGTAGGAGCTACTGCATTTGGACTAGGAAAGGAGGGGCAGTGGAGCCTTCAGGAAGGAAAACTGGGCTATTATGAAGTAATTATCCATCACTTGAACTTGTTTACAAGCGATTCTATTTTAATGTAAGATACAATCTTTTTAATACAACCTTACAATTGTTTCTTATTTTTCATGTCGGGGGCTTTTATAGCCGACTATACGGTCATTGTTGAAGGCAATATGGTTGCCTATAATTGCTTATATCCACTTTATTTGAACTTTGGTGAATAGTTGTCTCATTGGCAATCATACCTTATCTCTTTTTTGTTTATATTAAACTACTGCAAAGCGGATTTCGAACACTTTTGCTTCGTAGAAATGATAAGTTGCTGTTAGTTTATAACATGAAATTCTTTTAACAAGTACATAATCACACACATTATCACGCATGTTTAATGTGGTATTCCACATCATAAAAATAATTATCATCATCCTACACACAACTTGTCATTTCAGATTATATCATACTGTTAGCTAAAGATATTTTTTAGGTTTGCAAGAATTTTGGTGGCTTTTGGACTCGAGTTATGGACACCACACAAGGCGTACCCCATGCATATTATTCTAATCAGTGGGTTGGGTATGATGATATGAGCAGCGTACAACGAAAAGTAAGGCATGTGAAACTGTTCGTTTCTCGCTTTGAAATATTGTAAATAACTTTCTTCTAAAAAAGTCTTCTTTTCATATTGCTGAATATCGTATTTGTTTTTCGTACCTTGTTTCGTACTTAAACCAGACCGTTAGTTTTCTCGTTTGAATTGTTTTACATTTGTCATTTCGGGGCTTTTTATAGCTGACTATGCGGTATGGGTTTTGCTCATTGTTGAAGGCTGTATGGTGACATATAGTTGTTAACTTCTATATCATTTGCATTGGTCTCTGGTGGACAGTTGTCTCATTGGCAATCATACCACATCTTCCTACTTTTATAGTATGTATATCAAAGTAACCTAGTAACTGAAGACTAAAAATATTTAATATTAAACTGTCTTTATTAAGGTAACATTATAACAGAGAGTATTGTGAAATGATACCTTATTTTTACATCCAGCGCTTAAATAACTACTACTGTATTTATGAGGACTGACAAAAGCTACTATCGCCAAGAAGATTGACAAATAATTTATCGGTTTAATAAAAACCACCAAATATGATGAAAATGAATGTTCAATTGTGTTCTATTGAATAAGGTCTAACATGTCCATATTTTAATCCAGTATATTTATGTTTCTAGAAATACACAAATGCTTTATTTTGGCGTCTCCCTTCCTACGATTTTAGGTATCGGTTGTTTTAAAACAGACCGGAATTTCCTTTTCTAAATTTCGGTCAAGCGATTTTTCCGGGTTTTCCAATCGGATCATGTGCCAGTTTCATTCCACATAAACTTTTAATGAGAGTAATGACCAGTTCCCAAAATATTTCATTCATCTACTTCCCATATAATTGCAAAGTTATATTTTATTAGAAAGGTAATCAATTATGTGCTTGTCTTCAGCTTTGAAGGAGGTGTATACTTCTTTAATTAATCAAAATTGTTAGTAGTACTGCTCATGAAACTTATTCAAACGAAATAATTAAGAAAGAAAGCAAGGTTACACTGTTTTTAAAACGGTATCATGTATCATTACTTAGAAAATCACAACACACCTCTTATGTCGTATCACGTAATGTTTTAAGAGTTTTTGGAGAGAATGCTTTATATAATTAATAACATAGGAAAAGAACGGATTACCGTTTCCGGCCTTAAAAGTAATTGGGTTTTTAAAAGATTTATAAAACATCACAATTCCCCGAACAAAAGGAAAACACTTTCCTTCATGTATTGTGAATTTGATATATCTAAAGTATGAGATGAACTAAACTGTGATAAATTTTTATTGAAAATTTTGATTTATTCACTACAATAAATCCTTGTATTTAAATTTTGATATTTTTTTTTCGAGACATGAATAACTTGCAATTAAGCAGTCAGTATTTCGTATAGCTGTCAGATATGATAACGTTTTCAACAATTAATGTAGGTAAAATGAGAAGAGGGATCATTCGGACAATAACCTCCACCCTTAAAAAATCAACAAAAACAAACAGTGATGATTTTGACCGTCTCTGAAACTATTTTATTAATTTATTTTGAAACGTCAATGTTGATTCCTTCTTTTAATATGACATATGTGATTACACTTTTCTCCAGATTGTAACAATGTATATTTAAAAATGAAAAGATTGCAAATAAGAAAAATACATTTCGTAAAAGCACGGAACTTTCAATAAAGACATGTAATTTCTGTCTAACAAAGGGCTTTAAAATGAAAAAAGTCAAACCCAAGAACATACATATTCATGAACAAAAATCAATTTTAAAGTAAAGTACAACCAAAACAACAATGATCAAGTACCAATACATATACAACAAAGACTACCACAGTCTTGATGGTACCAATACAAAGAGAACATGTTGCATTATATATGTTTGCGTTTCCTCTATATTTTATGATATCAGCATATTAGGTATTAAAAGGGAGGCAACAGATACCAGAAGGATATCTTTATCCAAACATTTGAATCTTGCTTTAATCAGCTGAGATCTAGATACAGAGCCTAACTGTTCTGTTGTAAGGTCAAGGTAGAAAATAGTTAATGTCAATAGTAAAGATTTTATTTGTAATTTTTCGTAAGGGTAAAATGTCAAATATACTTGTACATCATTTGTTTCTGCGGCTGTCATTTTTTTTTTAGCTGATTCTTTTTTTAATCTTTGATTCATTTAGTTTTACGTATCTTCTTATGTATTCATATACCACGTGCGAACTGGGAATTAAATGATATAAAATATTTCTTATCAAGGAATAATGGATTAATGGTGAAAATGCCAAATATGCGAGTCTACTTTTTCTGCATGTATAATGCTTGAAAATTCTTTGGGATTAAGAAGTAAAATTCAAATAATAAATAGTTGAATATATGATAAATAAATAAGGCTTAGTGAGAAATCATAAATTTTCAAATGAATTTATTAAAATCGCCATTAGTTCATGAATTAAAACTTATTGTAAATTATGATTTCATTCCAGATTGAGTACATTTTGCAAGAAAACTTGCTTGGAGTAATGATTGATAATTTAGGAATGGACGACTTTGCTGATAATTGTGGTGATGGCAGATTTCCATTGTTGTCAAAAATTAACGACGTTGTGTCAAAGACGACAACCCATTTGCAAGAAAACTTGCTTGGAGTAATGATTGATAATTTAGGAATGGACGACTTTGCTTATAATTGTGGTGATGGCAGATTTCCATTGTTGTCAAAAATTAACGACGTTGTGTCAAAGACGACAACCCAAACACCAATAAGAACAACTTTTGGTCCTTTTACAGCCCGCCCTACAACTACTAAAACAACTACAACAACTACCAGGACGACAACAACACCAAGACCAACAACCACAACAAACAACGACTCAACAATCTGTTAAATGTGGCATAAATGGTGAGCATAAATGTTAGATATGGTCTTTTCAGGAGCCTTTAAAACTTGCCATACTTTATTGACCGTTATTTTTTGTTAGAATGTAGTCGAACGCCTTCTACCAAATAGTATTTTACAAATCATAGCAGTGTGACTCTACCTAATTTGAACGTGCATTTGTGCATCCTCAATCAAGTTTACGTTCTATGGATTTTATATTTAAGTTGGACTTTGGAAGCATTGACACATTTCGTCTTTCAAACAACTAGTGCCACCAAAAAGTAAATCGCCTCATCTTTGTTTTGCCAAGTGCCAGTTAATGTTATATATATGTAAATAAGACATGAACACAACATTACACACCCAAAGAAAGCCAGAGGTCAACATATCACAGTCTTCATCAATAGACGATATAAAAAAGATGCGTCAAGCTTTAAACCGTCCGAATTATGAAAAGTATGAATAAATTTAAAAGAGACAATCTAAGATCTACCATTAAATTCAAAATCAAGTATTGAAACTTTTAGCGCTTTTTATGAACTCTTTAACTGAAACTTTATTGGTTAATTGGAGACATGACTACACAATTCTAATATAAAAAGTATGTCTTACGCCCTAGGATACCAATGAGGCTAAAGTCCATTTTGTTAAAAACCATTTGTAACTCATATCGTTGATAAGGCATCCTGATATAGCGGAGCGGTAATGTCACTTGTCTTACCAAAACACTCGATCCGATCTCATTTGAACTTATATTTGAAAAAAAAACAAACGATTATAGACTTCTGCATGCTTACTTAATTTGTTAGCACTTATCATTGAATTATCATTTATTGTTCCTCCTGACAGCGGTCAGCTGCGGCAGCACATAGGGGTCACCTATTGTCTTTGTCTCCTCCGTCGTCATTGTCAAACTTTGTTTAACGTAGTTCCTTTAAAACATCTTGACATTGTAAAGAATCTGCTTCAGGATATAAAACGGTGCACTTGTAATTCAAACTACTGATGACAATGGTTTTTGGAGTTTCACATACACAAACATGGACGAAGCCAAATTTTACCTTTATCAATTATGTTAAATTGCATTTCCTCTTTGAATGTCTCAGGCATTTTTAATTTCATTATGGCTTCTCTTATGAATACGGACTGCGTCAAACAAACCATGGAATCATTCCAATAGATTTCTTTTGAAGGTAGTTTTACTTACTATTTTGTGAATCTGGATTTAGCATTCTGTGGATGAGATTCATATAGAATCGATATAGGAAAAGCCATTATTACATCAGTGAGTGTGGTATTTTCATAATTTCGACGAGAAACAATAATTTAGATTTGTTATTTTTTATAAAGATAAGAAGATTTACATTTAGTCATTTCTTCATTAAACAAAGATTTTGCGGAACTTGTAAAAAGACATATCCTGCCTTGATTGATGGATATAGACATATCCTGCCTTGATCGCACCTGTCATTGATGTATATAGACATATTCTGCCTTGATCGCACCTGTCATTGATGGAGATAGACATATCCTGCCTTGATCGCACCTGTCATTGATGGATATAAACATATTCTGCCTTGATCGCACCTGTCATTGATGGATATAGACATATCCTGCCTTGATCGCACCTGTCATTGATGGATATAAACATATATGACTGCTGCACACACGCTGTCTTCTTCATATCAAACATTTTAATGATAAATGGAATGAACACATAAGAAACCTCAATATAGAACAATTTGCTTCAAGTAGTTTTAGATAGATCATTCTGTAAAGTATTATCACGTTAACCTCATTGCAATATACGTTATAATTATTTCCAAATGATGCAATGATTCATATTTGGTATAAATTATTACTATCTGTACCTCAGTTCTTATTTATTTAGTTGACAATGCCAATGTTTAAAAATTACCATAATATTCAAATTTATGCAGGTAGATGTATTCTAGTAATGATTAAAATTGTATCAAAATGTTGTAAAACTATATTTCATGTTTAGGTCCAATGCCATGTAAACATGGAGCATTTTATGCAGATTCATGTGACAAGAATGTCTACTATCAATGTTTATGGGGTAGACCTGTGCAACAACGCTGCAATTGGAGTCTTGTATGGAATCAAGCAGGATTACGTTGAGACAGGACATAAAAGTTATTCAAGAATTTGACTTTGAAATATTGGATTGTGAACATTTGATTTTGTAGAAGTTGTAACCAAAACATGAGTAGAGTATATTTTGTGTATAATAATATATCATTTACAACTAATTTTAACATTTGTCTCTTTTCTATAGTTTGCTCTATAATTCAAGATTTATTCAATTTAATTTTTTTCTCATCAAAGAGAAAGTCAAATTGAATTTCACTTTTAGTGTATTCTGGAGCTCTCTTCTCATAAAAAAACCAAAGCAACACGGTCACAAGTTTTTTCCTAGAACGAAATAAGAAAAATAGATGTTTACCTGTTTTCATCTAGGTTTTGTAAGGAAAAAATAAGATGTCATTGAAAACAATAAGTCAATTATAGAGACAACACCAGAGCCAAAAGGAGGAACATTAACAAATAATCAATATTTTACATAGAAAACTAAAGATGGACGGACAAAAAAAGAAATCAGTAATGAGATTAGGCGCCCGGAAGTGTAGCATCATCTTCTTCACCTCTGCGCTGAAGTTCATCTTGCACCCTATAATAGCGGATTGGTAAATAAACTCATCATAGATACCAGGATTGAAATAAATGTAACTCGTCTTTACCAAAAAACATTATTTCAATTAAAAATTGGTACGTACAATGAAATAATTAATTTTATGACCGAATGTATAAGATTGAAAGGATAACAGTTACATATAGAAACAGCCAAGACATGAAATAAAAATATCACAAATGGTCTACACAGAAAACTAATGTAAAAACCACACGAACCCCTTTTATCACCTATCGCACTCATCGTATTGCTCATGGCAAGTCAAAATCCGAGGACAAATGTTAATACTTGATTTCAGACATTCTGATTTTCGGTCAACGAAACGTCAAATAGGGGAAGTGAATAGATTTGTTGTACCTATTGTTTAATATTTTTCATGACTGATCGAGTTTCATTTAAAAGTGTAATCAGAAAGATATTCAATGATCACTTGAATTTTTAAAAAGGATGTAATTGTGATGTCTATCTATGTAAAGGGAAATATGTATTATTCCCTTGTGTATTTTGTTTAAATAAAATTATTCATATTTTTCTGATGTTGCTAATTTCTAGTTTCACGATCATATAGCTGTTATTCGTGAACGTGAACACATACTGTTTTTGGTTTAGGTAGGTGACCTGTATACTGCAATCTTGGATTGTAGAATAGCAGTACACAATCGGTCTAATTCTTTGCTTAAATCGGCAAATATTTAGACAGAATGGAAATCAATGTGTAAAAAATCGTTTAAATAAAGCAGATCAAGTACTGTGAGCTTGCTTTTGATAACAGCCATTATTGTTTGATACAGTTTATTATATTATTTATTATATACCCTACCCCGTTCGCTTGCTTGAGCGGGAAGTATACAGTCTTCGAAGGTCCTCCGTTTGTTCGCACTGCCCACTATGTTTCCGCAAATGGCACTAAAATAATTGAATTTTGTATAACTTTTACCGAATCTTATTTACAGATGAACTGGTACATATCCTATTTCATTCTTCATTCAAATGTTTTTTTTAGGTTTATCTTGGCATGACATAGTTCATGATAATGTTGTCATAATTTCTACTTTATAGTGCCATGTTGCACCTCTAGTTTTGGTTTGACACCGATAACTTTTGGACTTCCCTTTGGCAATCTTGGTTAATCAGGGGTATCAACTTATACCCGCAACTTCTTCTCCTTTACCACATATTAGAATTTATTTAAACGTTTTAGAATATAACCCATATAATAGTCCCTTCTATGTTTATTATTTTATTTTTTTTTGGAAAAAGGGGGGGGGGGGGTTCAACTAGCAATTCCAAGATTTTTTTTATCCATTTATGTTGGGGCGAGGTATCATTTTTGGAGATTTGCTGACAGGATTTCTAGTTTGTACGTATTTTGCCATGTTTTAGTGTTCAATACCTATCCTGTACTCGCATGTACTTATTATAAGTCCGCTGATTGAAGTTTAAACGAGAGTTCCGACACAAATGTCACCGCAGCTGCCTTATTGCTAGATATACATTTCTTTAAATTCAAATGAGGTAGGGGTGTTTCAGAAACATGCACTGACAACACTGTGTTCATGGGTTTATAGTGTGTCTAATATCATATTGCGAAACTAAAATTCATTATGCATTTTTGAAAAGGAAAAGTCGTTCAACCGAATTTTAAGTCTTAGTATGTACTGAGTTCCATAAAATCAGATTCAGATCAGCAGGCGTTACAAAAAATGTTGATAAGTATAATTATCATGAAATTTTCAACGTCAATGAGTATTAATTCCGCCAAAAATTAATCATCTGGAGCGTGCCACAAACTCGATCCGTAGTCATCACCATTATGCATTTTATGGCGTTACATAAAACAAATTGTTCCCGCTGCATGTTTATATGCCTGTTTGGGAGTCTCGTTAGTGTATTTCTTATGTCGTAATTAAAACGTTTTTGCTCTCTGTAGAGTTTGGTGATGATGTCATACCTTCCTAGTTTCTGTTTAAATAAGTCACAACTTAGTTTGATTCGGGACGTTTTGAGCTTGGCATGTTGTATAGATACATCTTTTGAAGACTTTATGTAGACATATAGATCTCTTATGGTAATCGTTGCTGTTTCATCCCCGACATCTCATATATTCGTAGTTCAGAAATCAAGCGATTTTTTTTATTATAATAACATTTCTGTTTTATCTTTCATTTAAAAAATAAGGTTGCCTATATTAAAGTGTAAGTTGAAATCTATTTAACTCAATTACATGTGAACAAATTAAGATGTTTATTTAACTGATTTTCATTCAATAAGATATAAGATTAAGAAAATGTTAACAAAAGTTCTTATAGCCAAATGGCATAATATACTTTTTAAAATATTGAATACCATGACGTAGTGGGTTCACTTCATTTAATAGCATTTGGGATAAAAGATAAGAAAACGAAAAGGGTGTGCTGAAAAAAAATGATTAGACCGGTATGATGTTGTTTGAACCACAGAAAAGTTGTTTCACGTTTCTTAGTTGATGATTTACATCGCATGTTCATTTGAAAAAATGTCTATTTATTTGCCTTGTAATCACCTGACGGAAAATAAGGACAACAACAAATATCATTTAAAAAACTTTATGAGCTATCAATTTGTCTTTGTGGTTGGTAAATATAACTTGAAAAATGAAAACATCCTAAATACAAAATTATGATATGTACAGTAAATTGTTTTCATCAATATCCGGAATAGTAGGTTGTCATATGAATTATCCTTTGATTATAAAACCCTTGTGAACATCATCATAAACATCATTGTATCTTTCAGCCCAAGGTCTTTTAGGAGCATCACTTGCATCAATGTAAGTATCGCGGAGTCCTACTTTATTGGGTGGTAGTGCAGCGCGCGGAAACCCATCTTTCATTTCATTCGAAAAAAATTAATAAAGGATGCCTTCTCTTTTTCCTAATATAAGAAATAACACGTAAGAACAAAAATCCTGAAGTTAACAGTGAAGAACACTATATCCATATATTATCTACACTTAAATCAATCTTTACTTGTACAGTGTCTTTGCTTAGTACTGCATGAATATAAAGACCACATGTTGATTATTATTATAATCAAATATTCATTAACACGTCTTTAATGGATTCAATGTTTAAATAAATGTTGAAGAGTTCATATTGTTGTTTTTGGTTTTGGTAGGCGGCTTACTTATGTAGTAATAGAGATTTCCAATAAAATGACATACGTACCTAACTCGACGTACGCACGTAACGGGACCGGTTATTGCTAACCTATTAATTTTGTTAAATGGGCCACTCAAGTTTCAACTAAGTATTCCTAAACTATTAAACTCATTCATGATAAATTTTATCTATATCAAGTATTTCTAAGATGATGAAAAACGAAAGAAATCATGATTTTTATATATCACGTGATTATTGAGATTCCCGCCAAAACTTCACTGTCATAAGACCACGTATCTTTACCTATCATACGATTGATTTGAGTTGTCTTTCACGGTTTTGACCATGACTTTGATTTTATTTTCGTGGGTATTTATTATGAGACAGTGATTTTTCTAGCAACTTCAGAAATATCGAATTCAAAGTGTTAGTCAGAATTTGTCTCTGTTAAAGTTAATAACTGGGATTGCATCATTTCAAACGTTCTCTTTTTCTGTAGTTAATCTTTTTTACTTACAATCTCCGATTTTTCCCCAGGGAAAACTTTCGACAAAGGAATGTGTATATTTAAAAAAAAATTATTAATACAGGTTTTGTAGTTCTTTAAATTTTAATAGTTGACATACACTTTTCTTTTAAATGAAAGTCAATTTACATTAAAATAAAAAAAGAATTTTGTAATTAATAATGATATATTTATGAAAAAACATGTGTACACCAATTCGTTATATAGATTGTAATTTGGAAGGTGTACTTGATTAGCAATTGATGACTAATCTGCATATAAATAATAATACTTTATTCAGAAGCAATACAGCTTATAGAATATACATTTTACAATAATTTTTAAATGGATCAGTGTAATATAACTAACAATAATTATACACAATACACGTATGGCGGAGAATGACAATAAATTCATATGATAAATAAGGAATACAACTACATATTACGATTTTTTCGATATTAAACAAAAATTTACCTAAATTATTAAGTTCTTTCTCATTGTGAACTGATCACAACTGTATAAGTTTAAAAGTGGATGGATATTGCCAATAATATATAAACACTGACCGCTGTGGATAGTAAAGTATCAATTTATAGTAAATAACAATTGGCTAAAAAATGTCCTGTCTCCAAGTATCTCTGATTAAAAGTGGATGAAAATGCCAATTTACATACTTGTTACATTTTTAAGACAACTATAATGCCACTTCAGTCTTTACAGTAATTTTCTTTTTAAAATGTACTTTTAATTAGGAAGGCTTAATATTGTCATAGTTGTTTTTGAATTAAGACAACTCTTACTAATCAGATTAGACGTGGATTCTATTGATTGAGTAAAGCAAAAATTTTGAGTTTCAACTTTTGTCTCGCCTTAGAGGTATATATTTATATATAAAAGTTAAACTCTACGACATATCCATGCATAGGATCACCAGTGAAGGTGATACACGGCTGAAAACACATTTTATATTCATAATTACTTTAAATAAGTATTATCTCTGAAGAAAGGTTTTTTCCAGGTTGTTCTTATGTCGTGCTGTTGCACCACTGTCACAGGCTTAGGGGAGGGGGTTGAGCACTCACAAACATGTTTAACCCGTCCACATTCTTTATGTGCCTGTCCAATGTCAGGAGCCCGTGGTTCACTTGTTGTCGTTGATTCATATCTGTTATATTTGTTTTTCGTAAATTGTTTTGTTTTAAATCAGGCCGATAGTTTTCTCAATTGAATTGTTTCATATATTTTTCAAGTTGGCCCCTTTTATAGTCGACTATACGGTATGGATTTTTCTCATTGATGAAGGTCGTACGGTTGCCTATCATTGCTTACATCCACTTCATTTCATATTGGCAATCATACCACATCTCCTTATTTTAAATTTTTTTTTAACTAAATATGTTGAATATTCTCAGGTAATTTAACATGTAAGAATCAGCTTTCAGTACCTGGGGGTACTTTAAGATCGCTACTCTGTGTCTTTCATCATAAAAATGTAATTGTTTTGGACTGAATTCAAATTTGATTAGTTGAGCTATTTCCAAATACGTTTTTTTTCTTATGTTGTGCTGTTACATCAGAGTGTTGAGCGCTGATGAACGGGTTTAATAAGCCAAATTCTATATTGGATTTCCCAAGTCGGGAGCCTTCAATTTAGTGGATGTCGTTGGTTACTTTCTGTAATTTTTGGGTTATTTTTACTCTTGTAAAACTATTTATTTTCGTTTGAACTGTTTACATGTCAATGCCTTATATACTAGTATCTGATAATACGGTATGAGTATTTGCTTATTGTTGACGACATCACGAGCCACTGAAGTCGTTATTCACGCCATTTGTTTGATAGTTTGGCGCTCCACACGGATCCAGGTATATACATGTCGGAG